TTGGATGCCGAAAAAGGCTCAAATATCATATAGGATTTGCAACAAAATCTCTATGAATCAGGAACAGAAGAAGTACTTGTGCTCTATGGACGCCCTGCTCACTGTCTTCAAATGAATGGTACTTCAATTCAAACCACACATGGGACCATTTTAAGTCATACATAAGGAAGTGAATTATATCATATCGAACCAAATAAGGGAAAGCATCCATCCAAAACACACGAATGGAAACCTTCTACGTTTGTTCAATCCCAAAACCATTCGTAAATGAATGCCAATAGACGCAACGCAAGCAAGAAAGTGAAGCTTGAGGTTGTTGAATCTCGTAGTACGTAGTTTAATTCTCAGCTAACACTCGTGCGCTTGCCACATACCATGTTGATGGATTGGAATTTCTATAATCTTTTAACATCACACGCAAACGGTCTTCAATAATCTTTGCCCCATTCACATGGTGGATCACATAATAGGTACCAACAAAATAGAATACATGCATGACATTTTTCCTGGGTATATGAACATATAACACTTCTATTAGTGAAGTCCTATGCCATGTCATGTAAGACTAATACGACAAGTAAATGCTAGCAATTTCTATATTATATTTTACACGACACAAGTATATACTACCCATCTAATCCTTAAGAACATCCAGCAAACTTAATTACCCAAGCTTCTTCAAAAATGTTTCTTTGACACTTTTCTTGATTTCCACACTCTTTCAATTCTTCTGTAGAATTTCATGTCAAGAAGAAGGGAAAAAACAGAGAATATAAAATGCTATTTTATAATAAAATTTAAAACGTGTGTATAAAAATAAGTGAGGAAAAAGTATCAAGATTTCATCTTTTATAGTAGCTAAGCTAAAGAGGGGGAGTGGAAAAGAATAAGAGTTATGCTTTTTTATTTTTATTTTCTTGGTTAAATGCAATTTTATCTATTTCTTTTGTTCTCTACTTCACACCCGTTTTAAAAGTGTCAAAAATAATTTTCCGGTTAAATAATGACATATACAGGTCATTTTAATAATAAAACACAAAAATCCTTATATTTCAGCACGCACTTCCCATCTTTTGTCAAATAAAATCAAGAAAATAACATAATAATGTGACTCGTGCAGTTAAATTCAGCAATGATTGATGTATTAAATCACAAATTCACACGTACGTGTAGTATGAGGCCTAATTCATTCAACATTACTAAGCCATGTTTTCTAACGTTGTGTTTCGACGAGACATTTAAAAATTTAAAATATATATATATGAAAGTAATAATGAAAGATATTTAAAATAGGAGTAAATATTGTATTATTATAAATGATAAATATAAAATATTAAACATAATTGAAAGAATTTTATAATCTTTTTAACAAAAATTATAGTTAATTTTTTTATATAACATAAAAATTATTTAGTATTGTAAAACTATTTTTTTTATCATCCAAGCATATAAATTGCATGCATTATACGTAGCATAATAAATACTGTGGCAAGGCCAAGGAAGCTCACAAATCACAATTGTGTAATTTTATAGCAAGTTTGGCAAACAGTTTTTTAAGAAATAATCATTTTGAATATGTTCCAAATTACTTATAATTACACCTTTCTTACCTCAAATAAATTAATTAATTAAATCAAGGATTTGTTTATGAGTAATATGTTCATGAGTACAGTATTTATATATATAATTAAATAAATTTTAAATAATTAAGATAAATTTAATATGAAATTGGTATGAATTTTATTATAATTTGATAACTATGTCTTATTTTTTAAATCATATTTAATTATTCAAACGTCATTTGCTGAGATATTACATTAATTACATATATAGCTAAAAGTAGTGTTTGAAAAGGCTAAGACAACATATAATATACGAGCTAGCTTTTAAAAGTTAGGTTAAGTCCAATTTCGCAGTAGATTTGATATTAGAGTACCTTACTTAAGCTCATAGACTTACAATTTAATAGTTTTCTTGATCTCATATTATAAATATAAGAAGCATGATGGAAATAGGAGTAGGGTATTATAACAAAGGGGTTTGCCATTTATTATGTGGTTGCAATTTGCTACTGAGAAATTGTGCGGTATTTACGAAGTGGGTTCAAACTTCAAAATATATACTCTTGAGTCTCTGGTCTTAGTCCTAGTTGCAGGGTTGCTGTTTGCACAGTCTATAGTTTCTCATAATAAATAATTCTCCAAAACTTAACGGACCCGTTCCCTTCTTTTGATGCAATTTGGGTGTCATATCCTATCCTATTCCTTCTCTCTGTCACGTACACATTACTTTGCATACATAGCTAACGCCATAAAATGCTCAGAGAAAGATAAAGCTGTATACATTGTACCATGAGATAAACAAAAATAATAGGAAAGCTAAACTTACCGTACAAGTTGTCAGTCACTTAAGACCCCAACCCTCGTCCTTACATAAACCTCTATCCACATTCTCACGCGCTATACATAGGATCATCTTCTTATCGCAAACACCTGTGATGTTCCTTTCTTCACTTAAATATCGGAAATTTTGTGAGCATTTTCTCCACCATTATTCTGCTAATGTAAGCATTATCACAACATTAGCAGAATCAAGATGAGAGTTGCGCCTAGAATTATTAAAAAATTCCATTGACAATATAAATGATATTATTAAAGCATCTCTATAATTACTAACAATTCACAAGGCGTGACCTAATATTTACTGATTGCGATGAAGTATCTCTAATTACTAACAGTTCATGTAATTGAAATGTATGTTTAAATTCATTTAAGTCATATATAAATTGAATTTTTTTTTTAATCATAAAACAAAGAGAGCGTAAGACGAACTATTCGAAAGCAAAGTGAAGGATGTCCCTGTCCTTGGTTATATTAATGTAAAGTGCTCCTAGAAGAGTAGAAGTAGAGAAGACAAAGGTGCTATACCCATGAGAATAGATGGTAAGTTGGATTGAAGAATGGTCATATACTAAAACTAGAGAAAGATCTTTAACATCACGAGGAATGCCGAGTTAGGACAATATGACTTGCGATTTTAACATGAAAAGTGTATAATTAATATACGAAGACTGTTATTTTATAACAAATCATTCCATAATTCAATAATTATAATACTAGTTTTTTTGTTTATTTTAAGTTAAATATATTAAATAATAAATTGAGTATTGGGCTGCAATACTAATTAAGACATTAAAAATTGCAACTACTTCTAAATGTTTTTGCGAATAAATGCCTGTACCAAATCCAAACTCATGTCAGTGAGTAACTCCTTTTCATTACAGGCACTTTTTTTAGATATCAAACGAATATCAATCTAATCATCATCCTTAATATGCAGAGATATAGAATGAAATATTCTATTTTAACATTTTTTATAAAATTAAAACATTTTTAAAATTTTTTATATCACTTTAATTAACTTTCTAAACACAAATTAAATTATAAGTTACATTATATATTCTTTTAACTTATCCATCAAATACTTTTTTCTTAAAAAACAACTAACAAATGTTAACATTGATTATGAAAATAAAATAAGAACAAATACTTTTATATTTGTTTTCTTGAAAGTTCTTAAATTACATTCTCCTTCTATTCTATTTTATTTTAAAAAGCATACACATTTTCCTGAGAGATTAATAAATGTTATACTTTAATCCATTTTTATGTGAACAAATCTCTTAGGATTGGTTCTTCTCTTTTTATGACTCAACATTATCAACAACTTCTTTTGAGTTCTTACTATTGACTTTATAACTTCGAAAGATAAAATAAACGTATCTAGAAAAGTTTTAAAGCCGTTAATTTAAGTGTTCAAAATATATTTTCATTCATTAAAGTTTAAAATCAATAATATGATATTTAAAATTACTTGTTGGGAACTACAGACGATGAAAAAAGTAGAAACATACCCTTGAATATTTTTTGTAGTTACTCGTCATCGCTAGTAAAATCACTTTTATGAAGATGGATTAAAGTATAATACATATTAATATCCTATTGAAAAAAGTGCAATTTTTAAAATAAAAATATAATTTAAGTATCTTTAAAAAAAAATTCTCCTAATAAATATTAGATAAATCTCATTTACTTATTGTTTATCAATAAAAAAAATCATATACAAATTTTAAATAAATTGTTTTAAATTTCTCTATAATATTTTTTTTTATCAAGTCTCTCACAAATACACACAGTTATATATACGGGTGTGTATATATAACACTAAATTTATTTTTCCTTTCAAGATATTAAACATAGTTACTATTTTATGTAATATTCTTCATACAGTATTAAGAGAATTTATAAAATATTACAAGGAAATATATATTGCTTAATTTTTTTGGATTTATGATGTTTAAATTTGATGATAGGATGGACTCCTACTGTATACCTTGGCTAATGGATCATAAATGCATCACCCATAGAAAATGACGGTGTGACTTTTCTTTGATTCAAAGGATTTGTACTTGCTCATTCTAATATGTTTTTGAATGTGGTCAAGTAAAAAGACTACATATGGATTAGGACTTGATTAGAGAGAGACAAAAATCCACCATTCGGAGCCAAATATACGCCAATTGTGTATGAGTCGGTAGTTGCATTACCCATATGATTAAATACTGCTGTTTCTTTCTATTTATGGTTAGTTTGGGTTAAACTTATAACTTCCATAGTCATTATTAGTATTATCTTTTTCTAAAGCCAATCATTTCAATTAGCAAATTAATGAAAGAATGTTTGCGGAAATAACATAACTATAATTAATTAGTCAGTGTCAGTGCACTAAGTTCCCCCGGATGACATGTGTCAGGTTGGGAACGGCCCTAGAACTGAGTACAGTAAGAAACCAGTACATTTTCCAACTGATTAACCTTAACTAACTTAACATGCAAAGACCCTAAATTATATATAATCATAGAATGATAACCAATTAAGCAAAGGCTATCATTATCATCTATAACGTATAAGTTGAATATGGATAGGGACTTTAGCATTGATTCAAGCGAAATCTGGAGATCTGCGGGTATAAGAGTTGAGACTGAGCTCCAAGGAAGCACGAGAACCATTCTTGAACCCATCTTCAGAATGATGCCAACTGCTTCCATCATAGTTAGAAGAATTAGACTTGAGGTTGCAATAGCCATGGATGTCCTCACCGTGCATAGGGAATAAAGGGAGGGTTTCAATCTCAGTAGCACCATCTTCTTCTTGTTCTTCTTCCATGGTTTCTTCAGTTGGCCTTATTTTGTCAAAGAAATTGGCGTAGGCTGAGGAATATGGGTCCACACCGACCCATCCCATGTTGTGTCCAACATGACCAGTACTGCTGCCCCCAGCTGATATTGTGCAGTCCTGAGAAAAGGGTTCAAGATAAATGAAGGATCAAAACTTGATTTTCACACGGTTCAATACTTTATAGAAAAGATTTCTAGAGCGAGAATCTTAATCTTTAAAACCGGTAACTAGTTGTGAATGAGCAATGTAACTTTTACTTCAAAAAAAATTTTCCTTTATGTTTAGCTTTGTCGTTTTAGAAGAGTGTATGAGACCAATGGGGTTCTTCCTTTTATGGAAGTTTCAAGGACTGAACACTGTAAGTGCCTGGATTGTCGATGCCTTTTGTTGTTAAATAAGATATCATGGATATGGTAGACTATCACTTGCTTTTGCACTCTCCAATCTCACATAGATGCATGAAGTCTGTGATAGATCATGGATGCTTTTCAATGCATTGTAAAACTACATGTGCATTGAACAATTGAAAAAGAAAAAGAAAACAAATAGCTAGCTAGTATCCCATTCAGGGAAATAAATAAATAATATAGTATAAAAAGCTTTTCATTCTCAGGTTCATAATGGAATCATCCTAACTTACCCTAAAACTCTTTTCCATGGGCACGGTTCCATACCCATAATTCCCCATCTGTCCCACAGTAACCATCTCAGCAGAAGAAGATGATGCCGAAGAGATCCCTATAGACACATAGCCACAACATAAGATATATAAAGTAAGTACTTATATAAATCTGTTAGTTACAATTTTTTTTAACCTTGTCCCAGAAGAAGAAAAGTTAATGTAGTAACTTCAGTTATTAAGTGCGTGCTTCAAAACATGTTAAAAAGTCTATAAACAAGGATTCAAATCAGAAGTTATAACTAGTACGTAGCCTTGAAGTAAAGATGGATCCACCTGCATCCTAACGTGAAACCAAATATGAGGGGTGTGAATACGGTTGTTTACCTGTAGATGGTATGTTACAATACTTGGTGTGAATGGGTTCTTCAGGTTTCCAAGCAACAGCATTAGTTGTTGCTCTTTGCATGGGCACATTATCAGAAGTGAACCTTTTCTTTTGCCTTTCTCGAGCTTTGTGGTTTTGGAACCAATAAAAGACATTTTTGCCTTCAATCTTACCGTACTGCCTCAGCCTAGCAGAGATCCTCTGAATCTGTTCTGCACTTGGGGATCTAATTCCATTGTTATAGTAAAGGTCCTTCAATATTCTTATCTGATCGGTTGTGGGAGTCCACCGTGTACTACTTTGCCTGCTCAGAAACCCCCCTTTTCCACTGCCACCATCCTCGTTTGGTGAGTGTTGTTGTTGGTTCTGTTGTTGTTGGGGTTCCATGGTGGGCTGAAAACAAGAAGAAAACAAAGAGAAGCAAACAAAATAGTGTTGGATAAAGAGAAGGGGGAGAGAGAAAGAGGGAAAGGAATTAGAGGGTAGGTGAGGAAGAGTGCATGATTTGGAGGGAATGAAAGGGGGGTTATAAAGTTATAATAGGGGATAGAAGAGGCACATGGTACATGGAGTGATAAAGAGAGAAAATCACAAAAGATATCTGGGAGAGAAGGACTGAAGTTGACAGAGAGGAGTTCATAAAAAGGGAAGGGACAAAAGAGAGCTTAGAAAGTTAGGGTAACAGCAGGAATTACTTGGATGAAAAGGCATGACCAGGTATGAAATAAAGTGTATTTGCACACATATACATAGGGGTAGTGAGAGAGAGAGAGAGAGAGAAAAATAATGAGGTGTGAAATGATATATTGGATGGAAGGAAAGAAAAAAGTAGATGTTCTGAATGAATGAATGAATGGCAATGGAATAGAATGATGCGGGTTGTGATTTGGGAGTTCAATGGGTTCTTCTTTTGATGGAGATATCAGACATGGCCCCTACATTTATTTTATTTATTTTTTCTACTCTATGATTATGTCGAATCACCAAGCTATGAAGATATTCTGTACTTATCTGAGGACGTGGAGGGTAAAAATGTATTTTGCGAACTTATTGTGCATATCATGGGTCCCAACCAATACATGAACCTTGCTTCCATTAGGGCTTTTTATTTTTTGTGTTCTGCATTGGTCTGCATATTCTATAGGTATTTCAGGAAGTAGAGCTTTTCAAATTGTACTTCTGAAGACTCATGATGCGTGAGCTTGATGTTTAGCGAAGACTACACCCTATGTGACAAAGATTTTTCAATTTACAATCTTTAGAGAAGATGAGATCTTAAAAGGTCTATTATCATTGTTTCTTCACCAGCCTGCATTATTAACACTTCTGGGGCAATGACCAAAAACAGAAAAATAATGTAAATAAGTCTTATTTGGTTATACGTACCTTTCAAACTTGTTTATCCTCAACCAGAAACAAAATTCATTTTCTTCTTGCTCTTTTCCTACATCAAGATCACACAGTAAGGTTACGATTCACTCTTGTTTGTATGCCATACTTTTCTACTTATTGGCATAAAGTGACTGCACTTTATCTGAAGAAAAGAAAATAGAGAGACCAATAAGATAAGCTCGAGCGAAGACAAAATCTTAAACTCTATATAGTTTGTCCATTCAAACGGTTTAGTTAGAAATTTTAGTTATCACATAAGCGAACACTTTAATTTCTCTCGTCTCATTCCTCATTTTGTCTCCATGTGCGTATGCCCACAATCGCCCATCCCAGAATAAAACTAGTGTTCTTGATCATACATATTTTTGAATAAAAAAATTGTACGTAGATATTCGCGTCAAATTTAGGATCGATCAAATTTACAGGACATCCATTGGGTAGTGTTTGCATATAATTCTCCATAAACCAATTGGATAATTTATAATTAATTTATTTTCTTACATTTTTTTAATCTCTTCTTATTTTGTCATACCTCTCATTTTCTTTTATTTCCATTTTTTAATTCGTTCATCCATTTCATTCCCCTTTTTATGATATGTAAAAAAAAATTATTTATTTTACTGCATTTACATGGATGATGCTATATATGTTGAAATTTTCTACATCTATTTCGCTATATCTATACAATTATTGTGAGAAAAATGATACTCCATATGAAATAAAATGAAAAAGAGGAAAGGGCAATGGTAGGGTAAAAATAAATGAAAAGGCAAGTTGATGAATTTGTGATGGGTACAGGTCCTTATGCGACGGAGCACGCGCCCCAAAAATTAAATGCTTAGGCATTAAATGCAAGGGATGTCACGGTTTCTGGAGCTTTTTCTGTGTTTATCTTCGGGTGAGATCAGAACTCGAAAGCTCCATCATTTTTTGCCACTGCCGCTTAACCTGCGGTTCAGCTTTCAGCGTTTTATGCTATTTGCCTGTAAGCAACCCTTGAAAGTGAGTGAGCGCAGTGAAAAGATGTGCCCGCCCAACTCCTGCATCGTACTAACACTCTGAATAATTTACCCAAAACTGAATTCATGTTCAAATTTTTATATCCGGCAACTTTGATCCCTTTCATCATTCATCAGTTAACTGCACTCGGGTATCTCCAATTTTTAACATATAAGCAAACCGTACATGAATCCAATTTGTGGCTAGCACATACACATGTATATGGCACACGTATATGTATAATAGAATGTTGTTGACCCTGTGTAGTGTGTACTAAAAACATTAGTAAAAAATTAATATCTACAGTTGTATTTAAAACTACATATGCTGAGAATTTATTGATAATATTTTTAAATAACAAATGTACATTATGATGTAGAATATTTAAAATATATGGTTTAATTGATATTCGGGACAAGTGAGTGTAAATATGTTTGTCTGGGGCATTATAATATAGAATATATAGCTCCAATCCAAATGACTTCATGCTCGATCACAATGTGGTTAATTGGAAAATAATTAGATATCTTGAAAAGCAATATGTATATTTATGCAAACGGTCACAAAACAAATGAACTTCAGCAAGGTTTTCTTTTCTCGTGCATATAATACCTTACAATATAACAGTACAAGTTTTACATAAAAAAGAACCAATCAGGGAAACTAGTGTGGATGGAACTATTCAATATTTCCTTTTTGAATTCATTCTGTTGTAACAGTCTCGTTCATTTGATAGTTGATACAAAACAAAAACATCGGAAACAATATATTGATTTGAACGTTATTCAATCCTTCATGTACGTGTCTCTACGTTTCAACTTTTCAGATTGCATAATTTGCTTGATTTTGACACCGCCATCATGAGATTTGGCTTTCCTTATCATGCATTTACATGGCAACGAGGCATTGCTTAGAGCTTCTCCTCTCTCTAGCTATCATTTCCTCTCTCTCTCACACACACATAGAGGATGTTCCTTCATTTAAAAAATACACTTGGCCAAATGGTCACATTCTTCTGTTTGATTTACCTTTATATACCTGATTTTCCAAGCCAAACCCTTCATCTCTCTCTTTCTCTCTCATCCAAAATCCTGAGCTGCTTACCTCATAAGGGAGTGTGACCTAGCTAAAGGGACCTCACAGCCGCAGTGGTACACTCCCTAGTCTTACGGGTAATCATCTTCACGCACTAATTTTCTACCCGTATCTCCAAAGATACATCACAAAGATCATTCCATATCTCTCTCTTTAGGCTTCTACTTCTACTAGTCTTATTTTCTTTTAGCTTTCTTTCTTTCCTTGTTTTAGATAGTGACTTTGCAGCCATATAGAGTAAAATCCTAGTCATACAAGCTTTTTGGCTTCTCATTTTGATTTTGTTCATATTCTGTACGATCATTTTCAAACAATTAGATTCAAATGGGATATGGCGTTTTTAATTAATATTCTGTACACAGATGATTTCATTGTATAATATTTTTCAATCCGGCTTTGAACGAAATAGTTACTTTTATGTATAATAGTTTTTATGTGATAAGACTGTGGACTTGACCATTTTTTTAATCAATTAAGCTTCGGCTTATAACTTTTAACAACCTATATGAATAGGGGACCGCACCCAATGCAAACCATAACTCTACGTTGCAGGTATTTTTAAAGAATATAATTTTACTCAAATTGAGAATATTTATGTAGGCTAATTATTTCATTATATTTTTATATATAAATAAAGTTTGAAATCAAAAAACCTTAGAAAAGAATTTGGTATGAAGCACCTAAATCAATCGCTCCCTGGTTTTTTAGTCACAATTATTTTAATTAACATCTTTTACATTTCTTTTTTAAATGCTCAGAATTTCAACATTAATTCTTTTAAAGAAAAATAATAAAATTTTAAAGGACAACATGATTGAATGAATGCTTAACACAAGATTGGCAACTATCCCATATACAGTACAGTTTTACCTATTTATTTTTCTCTTAGCCTTTTATCGAAAGACGTTTTTCATTCTTCCAATAGCTCATGTTTATATAAATATAATAAAAAATAATTGTTACACAAATTTTTATTCATAAAGTAGCTATTTTTAGATGGTCCAATTGATGTTAATTTGGCTCGTACTCCACAACGATGCAAATTTGAATCCCATTACGCATATGAAGATTTCACTGTACGTAAATCTAACTATTCTGTGTAATGCTCCAGTAAAAAGATTATAATGTATAGTGCAAGGTAAGGCATTTAAGGAGAGAAAATATAATTTAGGAAATATAATCAATACTAGTACAATGTTTATATTAAAATTATTCTTAACTTTCTGATGTATCACTTATTGCTATTTATTTTTTATTTATAATAAGTGTGTAAAGTATTATAGAATTAGATGAAAATAAGAGTACAGTTAAAAAAAAAGTAATTAATACATCTTAAATTTTTAATTAGATGGACAAACAAATGTAAATCTTCTTTTAAAAAAGAATAAATAAATAAACTGAGGGATAACATTTTGGACAACTATATAGCTCGATAGATACTAAATTCATAGCCAAATTAAAGTACTTAAAGTAGCATGTATCATTAGCCAAATATAAAATGTAAAACATATCTTCATTAGAAATTATAATTGACCTTGCTTGTTACCACTTGACACCGGTTAAACACAGAAATTCAATTGGGTCCTGATCTAGTATGCAATTTGCAGATCTTGCATCAAAAGTTCGATACAGTTTCCCCGGCCCACAACTCAAATCCTTTTCAGTGGTTGATTTTAAACAGTAAATGGTTAATTTTGGATCTAAAAAGTTTATGAATTAAAAACCAAATGGGGAAAAAAAGTTGTAGAAAACTACGAAAGAAATAAAAGGAAGGGGTTGATGAGAAATGAAGAGGTAGCTGTTGCTGATTGAATCAAATTCTCGTTTTCTGAGAGACTAAACTTAATTTTTCATTGAACACCACGGTTTATCTTCCTCTTGTCTAAGTACTATTTCCCATT